TGTATTCAAGCAAGTTTATATAGGAAAATAAAATCTTGATTTTGATTCTATGATGTATTTTCTAATATGGAAGTCTAGATTGTATATAATAAGTTGATTTTGACAGTGACATGGAAAGTGAATGATTTTTTGTTTTAAAGTTCTATTATCTGACTTTTTCCAGAATTGATCTTATCTGATTTTTATACTCTTTAAGTATTTTATTATCTTGTTTGATTATTATAAACTATGATTTTTATTTGTTGAGACTTGAGAATATTATTTTTTATAATTTTTGATAATTTTTATAAATTTTTAGGTCATTTTATGCTTTTTATTACTAGATTTATCTCTTATTTTAATTATTAGATTTATATTTTAATTTTTTTATTAAATACCCGCTATTTGTCTATAGCGGCCGCTACGCTACCCGCTACGCTATCATAGCGGATTTTGGCCTTTCCGCTATTTGCCGCTATCCGCTATTGATAACACTGGTCTTCTTCCTTTCTCTTTTTCTTCCTCTTCTTTCTTCCTCTTCTTTCTTCCTCTTCTTTCTTCCTTTTCTTCCTCGGCAGGCCATTGAACCCAGTTTGCTGGGTTCGACGGAACCCATTTGCTGGGTTCCATCGAACCCAGCTCCATTTTTTTTTTATATGATTGTTTGCGAGATTATCCAAATTGTAGGTTATTGTTAGTTATTTTTGGGCAACTGGTTTTTTGTTTTTATTATATGATTGTTTGCCAAGATATTATTCAAATTGCAGGTTGTTGTGGATTTTTGGGCAATTGCAGGTTGTTGTGAGGAATTTTTGGGCAATTGAGTTCAGTGAATCGAGCTGGGTTCGATGGAACCTATTTGCTGGGTTACATCGAACCCAGATCTGCTAGGTTCTGTCGAACATGGAAGGAAGAAAAACAGTAACTGATGGGCAAAGATGGTGATGTGGGACCCATTTAGATGTATTTGGCACGATTTTGCCAGGTAGCATGTGACATGGATGCATGTCATCACTTTTTAAAGTTTTGCTCTCCACATCATCAAAAAAAATATAAAAAATACCACCTAAGCAGAGTTAACGGCTCAAATTAACAGAAGAACTAACGGAGTGCATTTTGTATAGTTGAGGGATAAAAAAGTGCAAAAAATTGTTGAGGGACCAAAAATGTTCATTTCTTAAAGTTAAGGGACCAAATTAAGCATTTAACCTTACAAATATAAGACTGGTAGAAACTAAAAAGGAAAACTGAAACAAAACCTTCCAGAGAAGCCCTCAAGCTTTTCTATTTCTTGGTTTGAGGTTGAGCGCCTTTTTTTTTTTTTTCTCTTTCTTTTTACTTTTAATAAATCAGACCCTCGAAGTAGACTCTAAGGTGACCATCAAGTTTAATTCAGCTAATTTCTAATAAGATATTTTAATAATTTTTTTAAATAATTGATAGTTGATAATTGATAATTATTGATATTTATAATT